ACAAATATGTCACAAGTGTACAATGGCTGTCTGGGGCCTGTCACACTCACAAATATGTCACAAGTGTACAAAGGCTGTCTGAGGCCTGTCACACTAACAAATATGTCACAAGTGTACAATGGCTGTATGGGGCCTGTCACACTCACACATATGTCACAAGTGTACAACAGTAAGTAGCGATCTGAAAACCTCAACTATGTCAAAGTTAAGTGTACAAAAGTAATCAACGATCTGTCATATTAACCTTTGTTTCAATAAATTGTACAATAGTTTTCAAGGGTCTGTGATATTCAAAGATATGTCACTAAGTTTAACAAAGGTTATCAGAGGTCTGCAATATATATAAATATCTCATAAAATTATATAAAAAAAACCCACAAGATCTGTTTTTATCCTTTATTGTAAGACCAATGTTTGCATATGTTTAGACCAGTCATAGTGACTTACTCGGTAATTATAAATTGTTTAGACGTCGTTAACATCACAACATTTCTTTGTTGGTGTGTTTCTGTTTTATGTTCTTAATACATCTATAAATATTATGTTATCAACTTTCATAAAATATTTCTCAAAATATTGACATATTCTGGGAAACCAAATAGAGGTAAGTGTACAATAGATAAATGTCACAGCGAAAACTATGTACTGACTAACAGGATTCTTGTATGAAATGCTATTCATAAAATATATTTTACGTCTAGTTTGTTGTATTTGTCGAATGTCCCCGCGTAGAACTAGCAACACTTACTAATACGACTGTAATTCCACATTGACTTATTATTGAATGGTGTACCTCTATAGCCACCGTATGTTCGTATAAATGAAAAGGCAACTTATTTTTTTCACAGAAATGGAATTCCTACATAAGAACACACAAGGATTATCTTTGTTTTTGTTTTAAACCCCACAAACACAACAAATAACACTGTCATATCGAAAATCCTCTAAGGATCTTGTGTTGTAATGATATATATGTGTTACCCTTATTAAACGCCAGTTTCCCTATTTTTTCGGTCTGCCTCGTTTTTGCTCTTTCCTATTGACCATAACAATTATATTTTGTCCTTTCGTTGTAAAGCCCTTTTAAATTATTTTAAAATTTTGGAATGATGCACCCAACATAATTGTGATGTATCTTTCTCGTTATAAGTTACTTGGACACACCCAGAAGAAACATTAATCACATTTGTTCCACTTCTCATTACCTTTCTTACACGTATTGTTTGTTCCCTGACGTGCCAACAATACAGCATTCTATGTGCTTCATATGACGCCCATTGTATGTAACCTGTCATGTCAGGCAGCAAATGAAACCACATTAAAGAATAAGATAGCGTTTTGATGTAAAGACCACAATTTACTTAATTGTACAGTCAGCCAGAAATGACCTGTCGCATTGACCTTCACGTAAACACATTAATATTGGGCGATTGCATTTTATTTCAGGTATGTCCGTTTATGATATATGGTGCAATATTACACGTGTGTCAGCAAACATGTTTGCCAAACGGTCCGCTAACGGCAATATTAAGCATATTCACATTACTATTCAAATTAAAGTTTAGACATTAATTTCTAATATAAACATTGTATGTACTATTTCCCTACATAAATATTGCCTGGCCTGGATATAATTGGGGTCCACGCGGCTGGCTATTGTGGTCTGGCTATGTTGTTCGTATTAATTGCGCGAATGTTTATATATATAGCGTATATAAATTTTGTTCAGGAAGTTGAAGAATTTAACCGGGTTTTGATTTGTATTTATTGAAATCTTTCATTTTCTTAATAGTATTCACAACTTTATCACAAGACATCACTCATCATTACATTGTATTTTATGTTATGTTTTAGCACAAATTCTTAAATTAAAGGAAGCATCTCTAAATAAGCACGATAGCCACGCCACATATAATATGTTTACAGACATTTTACGATAAGAGTATTTGACAAAGTTCTCATTACAAAAATAGAATACATCTAATATACCAATGTTACATTGTTAAACAACAGTGCTTTTACATACAGATTGGTTGAAGGTTAGAATATTTCATATTAATATTCAATCTACGCAATGATAAACAGCAGCACGTCAGGACTACGCAAGCTATTGGTGTGCTATTTAGGTAGTTGTCGTTGCATGCATACACTAAAATTATCGTTATATTTTATTAAACATAACCCAAATTACAGAACAAAAAGTTCACCAAATTCGGAAGTCCTTAAAGAAGGCTTACCTTATACAGATATTAACGAACTTTTATGTCACTCTTTTCCAAGCTTTTGGGCTTAGCTCTTCGTCAGGGATTAAATGTCACCGGACCTCTATGTCACATCCATCTTGACAAAGCGAAATAGTTGTAAAGATATGTTCTATATTGCGTTATTATGTGTTCGCCCTTCGCAAAGTGTTTCTACTCTTAGGAGAGAAAGGAACAACTAATAAATTTAAAGGCGAATATCAAAGTTGTCCAGGTGTTCAGCAGTATAAATGACATTAACAGTTACAGACTGTGTGATATATTTGTATATTACAGCTAGTTTATGCGTTGGAAAGCCTGACAACCACATGACTCGCCACCCGTACCGCTGTGATCACTATATCAGGTGTAACAACAGCACGGTGCACGTCCTCAAGTGCGATAACAAGCTCTGCTTCAACACCGAGACCAATACATGTGGCCAGACAGGTAAGCACGTAGCCAACCAGTCTGCCTCATGATTATAATCTGTCCATACTTCTCTTATTTTGTTGATGATGCTAATGATAAACATATTATTTCTGTGATTTGTTATGACTGTTTGATATTAACAACATTATACCAAAATATGTTGGAGAATTATACCGAGTTTTAACAAGATCCATAAAGCAATACCTTTACAAAGTACGATATTTTACTTCTATATATGATATATGACCAGGCCTTGTTTTATTAAAAACCTCAAACACGTTGTTTTCTTAATTTCTTTACATCCCTGAACGTGTATTATTATGTCTGTAAAAGGTTTACTCGGATATATCTAATAATCTGTCTAGATGGAATAAGAAAAAAAAATGAACAAGAAGCTTCGGGTCGTTCGTTTAACAAAATCCAAAAACGACAAATTATCAACAGATTTGACCAATAGTGTGTAACACGTTTTTCCAACAGGTATTGTGATGCATGACGTGGTGGCCTATATGAATGAAGGTGTGACGTCACTGACGTGCCGTGTGCAACATCTCGGTTCCTGGAGTGCACTTCGTCTTAGGAAGATACTGTCATCTGGTGACAGTATCACAATTGTAGTTGCATCCAACAAAACAAATGTAACAATTCAGGATCCGAACATGCGAGGGCGACTGTTTGCGGATATTCAAACGACTCAGTATGAAGCTAACCTTAAACTATGGATTTACACATTAGAGTGCGATGATGCGGGAACGTATCTTTGTGAGGCGGATGTTGATTATGAGTTACCCGCAACACGTGCACAGCTCACTCTCAAAGGTAATAAAAGACACCATCTAAAGCGCTTTATGTTCGAGGGGTAATTCGTTCATGGTTTTATACCTGAGGCATATAGGCAAATATTCAGTTCCGGGTAACATCTTAAATAGTCAATAGTCCTGACTATTTTCTAGTCCTATGTTTCGCGTAATTCGTAAGCTTGTACATTTCATAGCTATGTATGAACAACGTGGAAAACACACTAGTTGCAGAAGTATATGTACACCGTAGATTCATGACATGTCCGTCAATATGACAATGCTAGCCGCTTATACTTCACTGTCCAGTGCACGTAAAGGCAACATGTTTAGTTAGCCGTTATATGCATATGAATATCGCATTATAGTAACTATAGTGGTTATCAAGGTACAGTCTTTGGCAGATACATTTATGTATTGCGCCAAATATAAAGAGTTATTTTATTTTCTAGGTACAGGTATATGTAAAAATAAATAGCATCAAAACCTTCTGGAGAGACACCTTCCTGACGTCGCCACAAACATGACTGATAATACATTATTCCCGTTTACAGACAACTTTTAGTCAGTTTTATGTCGTACATAAGACGTAAACCGTGTAACGTTAAGTAACTGGCACCATTTCATGGTATATACTTGAGCAACTTCCCTAAACTATGTTCAATTTTCTCACGAAGTTTATTTGACATGAAGGACATTAACTGGTCTCCGAGTCATCCTTTAATCTACAGTACTCCTGTTTTCGACATATTTAGGTCAGACACAATCGTTTAGTTGACGTCACCTTCAGTTGTTATCTTGATGATTAAATGGTTACAGCACAATGACGTCATGATCACTAAATACTCTCTAGTATACATGAATAATTAAATAAGATAGAACATCTACATGAGACAGTTATTTAACAAGGAATCAAAGTATTCATGTATGAGGTTATAAACAACATACCAATAGGCAAGATAAAACAGTTTATCCACCAATGTGATTATAACAAGATGTTGTATAACCCAGTACCCACAATTACTTTGTGATTAAAATATCTCCGTTGTGATCCACTGGTCGATTCCAGAATGAAACCGGAATTGGTTTTGCACACTCAAGTGCAAATTTACGAACGGTAATGTGATGTCATTATTCCGTCCTTGACGACCTTTTGTCCGGCGGAGTTGTTCGGTTCAAGTTATCGTGAAGACATTTACCATATTAAATGACAATGATTAGTAACGATCTGCAACAAAATCTTGTGTATGCTATAAAAGCCATTTCACAGATATATGTGGATATATATCACCCTGGTTTAAGCCATTTGGGAATGTACCAATACGCACAATGCAATAGGAGAGGTCAGGTGGACACACGAACGATATTGTCTTTAGATTAAGATCTGGTCTGCGACAACGAATATGTTGGTGTTTTAAATCTGTCATATTTTATATTTGAATCCTATTCAGACTGGTATCAATGCGAAAATATCATACTGGGATTAAAAAAGATCAACAGACACAAAGAGACAGAAATAAAAAAAACAAAAACAAAAAACACTAAAAAAAACAATATTATCATGTTTACAATTGCAAAACAAATTCGTTAGAGAAAGTCATATTAATGATGGAGCAAGCTAACCAAACTTTGAAAAAGACTGTATTTGAGTAAGACCTAATTATGTATGGAGTGTCGTAGATGTACCTATTACTGGATGGCAGAAGATGTATTACTGACGCCGACCTTTACTATACTTAATACAGAGAACACGTCAACCTGTCACAAAAAAACATGGCACAGTGATGAGGTTAAGTCTTAAAAACTACTTACGGAATGTACCTATAATCATTAATATACAGTGTTATGTGTTTGTCAAAAAGGGCGTATTTCATATTGAAAATGCCATTTACAGTATTGCCAATTTGTTGCAAACCCTAGCAGTGAAATAAATAATTAAATGATAAATCAATCTACATACAGTCTATAATTTATTAGTTTGAATTAAAAATGCAATGACACAGAATATAATCAAGACCAATATATCTGTTTTGAAAAAATAAGTGTCAGACCAGCTAGGCTAATTAAACATATGTTTAAACAATATTACCGAGATTTTAGTGTTATATCAATATGGGGCTCTGTTTACGCATACCATACTTTATAATTATCTGTTTTTACCTAATAAATATTATAAATAATTTCATTTACTTTCCAGTAAACTTATCATTTTAGCTTATTGAATGAATTATTATATTTATCTCGTTTTGTCAAATTTCAGTGAAGCCAAAACCGCCACAGATCACGAGTCCAATAGAAATCCTGGAAGGGAAACGACTCAGGCAAAGCTTTACGTGTGAGGGAGAGGTAGGGTATCCCAATGGTGCCCTACGGTGGGAAGTCAAGTACAAGGACCAAACCAAGTTTTCCGCAGTTTCTTTGGCAGTATTCAACGACACCAAGACTAAATCCGTGGTCGGGAACTGCTCCAAAATCATCAGGCGAGAATTGTCCTTTACACCTTCAACAGAACAAGACGAAATGGTGTTGAGATGTGTTGTTGAAAATAACGACACATTACCAGATGGGCAGACATTGTGGGATTCGTTCAAAGTTCATGTCATTCCAGGTAGGAACTATCAGTCTAAAATAGCATTCCAACAGAATACATAACGGTTCAAAATTATCCGCGACTTTTTATAAAGAGGATTTACACATGTATTTTGTATGCATTCTTATTATGGTATTCCTATAGAAATTTAGCGTATATGCATTATACTGTTAGATACGTCTACTTATTTTGCAGGTTCTTCTAAAGACATTTCTTTTAATTTTAGTGCATAGTAAATTAATTTTCTCCTAGATAAAGTTGTTTCGTGAAGTCTTTAAATATGACAGTCGAACTTTAACCTCAAACAAACTATGTTTTCTTAGATTCATTTAAATGATTTTGAAGTAAAACAGTAAACACATACATCAGTTTGACTTCAATCTATAGGAATATGGTTAGTTATTCAAAATAATATTGAGTATGTGAATGAACAAAGCTCGCAATGGCAAAGGTTTTATAACCTTAATCTCCATATCAACGGGATATTCAAGTTGTATTAAAGAGCTTGTATCATTAAACTCACAAATTAGATCAGAGACGACTTCGAAATGAAAGAGAGAAAAAAATATTGTCGTATTTATGATAAAGATGTTCGACTGTTTCCTATTTAAGCAAACTTCTGTAGTTCCGACAACTCAACGTACCTGATCCACCCTCACAACTGTCGACAGTATATCCAGTGTGCCCTGGGATACCTGTACGTCCGACAGTGTAGCGTCGGTCTCTGCTTCAATCCCGACACTCAACAGTGTGACATCCCAGAACCGATAGAGTTCACTGTCTGTACGTATACCCTATATATACTACCTCACTCTCACAGCCAGCTCATTTTCCAGTTTAGTTTAATTATACGAAAAAAATGTTAAAAGGAGGAGTGGGGAGTGTCTTTAATTGATAAATCTTTTAACGTGATTTTACTTATATTTTATTGAAAGTTATACAATAATGAATGCATAAATCGATAAAACTATAGGATAGATTTGAATAATTGTATGTTTGTAAAGGTACACAACTCTAACACAACCAAGAAAGTATAATTTGTAAGATGACATACATGTATCCTTAACGACCAGTTATATCTAGCTTCTCTGAATATATCTTGTGAAGATATTGATTTGCTTTTCCGTGTACTATATATAGTGACGGTGAGTTGAAAATAATGAAAACTTTAATGAAATACAATTATGGAGTTATTCTTCAGTAATGTTTACAATTTGATATTTTTTATCCAGAGTATTATATCTGACGAATAATTTTCATCCTACTGACTTCTATACAATTTTTGGTATCAATCATAAACCAGTCTTCGGTTAAAAGTCAATTTTAAAACGGGTATCAAACTAGGATGAATAACACACACGGAAAATTTACTGAAGTATATCGTTCAATTAGTTATTCTCTTTTTATTTTATTTTTTAAGTGGCTTCATGGCTTTTGCTATTCAGCAAATGAAAATTTGTTTTTGTAAATATGTGATGTTTGAATTAATGGACATTTGTTTAACTTCCTTTTTTATTTCACTCACTAGTTGATCCAGAGTTTCCTTGTCGACCAAACAAAAATGGTGTATACTTTCCACATGCCTTCCTCTGTAACAAGTACACGTGGTGTGTACAAGGAAAGGGAATCCTCCAACACTGTCCCTTAGGAACTCTCTACCTGGCAGACGGCCAATGCACATTTAACACAGAACAGTCGCTCTGCTACAGCAAGGACGAGTTATGATAACTTTAGAAGGTTTATTTATCTGAAGACCACACAATGGACCAATCGTTTAAAACTACCCTTGTCATGTTCTCAAGAGATCTTAGTTAATATACCGTGGAATGAACGAATTGTGATAGTTCATGTTAAGTATGAAGATTTCGTTGGATTAACATATGATAAATTCAAAGTTCGGCGTGATAAAGATTTAAACACATTGAATCTTTCCTTGTCAAAGTTGTGCTAAGCACTGCACAATGTTGTGATGGTTAAGCTTCATGGCTATCTGCAAACTAAGCTTTGGGCTAATTGTTGAATAATTACCTAAGATAGTGTTAATTGCCGAACAAAACATTTTACGGTGTTATCAAACAGTTACAATCCAGGAATTCATCTGAAAAAGAATTCTACAGTAGACGCCCGAGCCCGAGAGCCAGATATAGTGTGTGAGCAACAACATGCTTCATGTGAAAGACTGACGTCAGTAATACCTCTATAACGGTGTAAACATAAAAATAGATTTCTGCTATAGCAACGACATACAATTCCTCTGGGTAAAGGCGGTGGTACAGTGCATAAGTTTTGAAACAAGAAATTTACTACTGAAGAAAGTGTTACTTTGAAAAGCCGGTTCATCAATAATAGCGGAGTACCAGTAAACCTGTATTTCACAATACGTGTGCAACTATGGCTGTAGACTGTAATGAATAATTCGAAAAAGCGGAAGCAGCTTGAAGGTATTCCAGGAAAAGAAATCAGATAATGAGGATAGTTCCTGTCACAGCACATAAAACTATCGAACGAAGGCAGCGTTAAGTGTATGGAGATCGCAGTTTTGGATCCTATTGGAGTAACATCATTAAAACATACTGAGTATCTCAAATCATTTAATTGTGTTCTCTTGTCAAAAGTCAGAGGAAACATGTCTAGTGAACGATATGAAAGTGCAAGTGATGGTCTTTTGTCAAGAAATACAAATGTTTCCTTGAAGGAAATAACTCTTCTTACGACTTTTTGTGATATTCAGAGTGCTTCTGTTTCCAGTTCAAGGTCAAAATTTGTGCAACGAAGGATCAATAGCAAGAAAAAGATCAGGATTAAATTCACTATCGTCTTATAGTTTGACAGTCAACAATTATCTCGGTAACGAGCGGTTTTATAAAACACGACTGAGACATTGACTGGTTCATAAAACGAGTTAAATCTGTTGTTAGTTTCATAGTTTACATGTGTACATAGGTGTCATTTTTCTGCAAATCATTTACATTTTTACATTTAATCACAGAGCAATGCATAAAACAACTACTACATCTCAATAAATACATGAAATCGTTTTGGTAATCTTGTAAATGAGTGCAAATATTCTTGTAGTTTGCTTTTGCCATATTGTGTGGCATATAGCAGAAATAGAGAATCCTATGATTTTCGAATTCAGCTTGCTAATGAATCAGCACCATTATAATCAACTGTTACATTGAGTGTTAAGATTAAATTAAATGAAATTAAAACTTTCTAATTGTTTAATAGATTGTTAACAATGCCAGTTTTTAATATGTCTCAATAATTCGGTGGCAGAGAGGAAATAACGTCTTTAGACAACTAAGTGCACAAGGACTGTGTCATTTTATTTGTTGCACATTTCGTCTCATTTGAAAAATATTTGTAATGATTCCAGATGTTACTATGACAGTATTGTAGATTCTAAAATGCGAAATAACTTATTTTATCAACATTGTGTACATATAAAGGACTATTAGGATGTCAAACGTGGAACACATGGTGAGTTTGATTCATGTCATCATCTAAAGTTAATGCAAACCCATTACTTACACACGTGCCGTATTACCTGGCCTTATTAGATATACATACTATTACACATGTTTGTAAAGTTATACACGGATGATCCGTCATTTACCGTCCTGAAATGACCATAGCTGTAGATAGGACGTTAAACAATACTAAACCAAACCAAATCAACCCTTCATATACATAGCATGAATTAGTATTTGAAATATTTCTTGACATTAACGTCCAGATGACGTGTAATCAAAACTTCACGACAGATAATTAGGATACAGTATTACAACGGAACGTAATCAGGTTATACCTTTTACGGTATTAGCCATCGGTCTCAATCTCCAGACTGTACCATTAATAAAAGGGTGCTTCAAATGCATATATTTTCTTTCAACATGGAGGATGACACAAACAGATTATTTGAACACTTAATGAAACTCACATTCCTTTCATCATTTTTGTTTTAAGTGTATAGTGATATGAAAATGCTTTATTGAATAAAATATCTGAATTGTACACTGTCTTCACAGTCGAGTATAACACTGTATTTGTACACGTGCCCTGTGATTGATGGGGAATACTGGTAACCTATCAGTGTAAACAAATATTTTAGCTACCATCTTAAAATATTATAAGCAAACAAACGTCACACGAAGGTGGGACCAATATTCTTCACATGCCATTTGGTATCATTGAAGACTCACTGTCAACTATTCAGTGATTGACGGAGAAAGTCACGGATACAGGTGATAGACAGACAGACGGACGTAGGGGAAAGAGACACGGATACAGGTAATAGACAGACGGACGTAGGGGAAAGAGTCACGGATACGGGGAATAGACAGACAGACGGACGTAGGTGAAAGAGTCACGGATAAAGGTAATAGACAGACGGACGTAGGGGAAAGACCCACGGATACAGGTAATAGACAGACGGACGTAGGGGAAAGAGACACGGATACAGGTAATAGACAGACGGACGTAGGGGAAAGAGCCACGGATACAGGTGATAGACAGACAGATGGACGTAGGGAAAAGAGTCACGGATACGGGTAAAAGACAGACAGACGGACGTGGGGGAAATAGTCACGGATACGGGTAAAAGACAGACAGACGGACGTGGGGGAAAGAACCACGGATACAGGTGATAGTCAGACAGACGGACGTAGGGGAAAGAGCCACGGATACAGGTAATAGACAGACAGACGGACGAAGGGGAAAGAGCCACGGATACGGGTAAAAGACTGACAGACGGACGTGGGGGAAAGAGTCACGGATACAGGTAATAGACCGACGGACGTAGGGGAAAGACCAAAGATACAGGTTATAGACAGACAGACGGACGTAGGGGAAAGAGCCGCGGATACAGGTGATAGACAGACGGACGGACGTAGGGTAAAGCCACGGATACAGGTAATAGCCAGACAGACGGACGTAGGGGAAGAGCCACGGATACAGGTAAAAGACAGAAAGACGGACGTAAGGGAAAGAGCCACGGATACAGGCAATAGACAGACGGACGTAGGGGGAAGAGCCACAGATACAGGTTATAGACAGACCGACGGACGTAGGGGAAAGACCAAAGATACTGGTTATAGACAGACAGACGGACGCAGGTGAAAGAGTCACGGATACAGGGAATAGACAGACGGACGTAGGGGAAAGAGCCACGGATACAGGTAATAGACAGACAGACGGACGTAGGGGAAAAGCCACGGATACAGGTAAAAGACAGACAGACGGACGTAAGGGAAAGAGCCACGGATACAGGTAATAGACAGACAGACGGACGTAGGGGAAAGAGCAGGACATTGATCCTCAAGCAAAAGTTTAACAAACTTAGCGAGACTCTGCGAGAGAAACGCTTACCTGTTTTATTTCTCTTTTCGCAATGACTTCGCTGAATCAGTCCCCTGCAATTGGCACTTGTAACTTTAAAGCTTGAATAATTCTAGTCTGGCACTGTTTAAGTGATTTTTTTTTATAGAAAACTCTCCTTTTCTGTATAATTTACGTATATTTCAGAACACTTTAGATATGGATTTCAATATTTCAAACAATTTTAGTACATTTATTAATACACCAATGATGAGTTATAAACGGAAGCTGGTTTTTGCAACGAATTACTAACTTCTAAGTAGGGTTCCTTAATTCGTATTTTTGGCGATTAATTTCCGTCAAAAGGACTCTGTTAGTTATATTGTATATATATAGGACTGTCAGTCCCCGAAGTTGTTCAAGTGCATTCTGACCTCAACACCACACCTGTAGTCACCTGGGTACTAGAAGTAGCCATCTTTACCTGTTAGTGATTAGTAGAATAGTCCCCTACCTTGATGGTGTAACAGAGATAACCCCAACCACAGGGGTGGTTGTTTTGGTAGTCTCTGACTATAAGTTATTATCAGGAGGGCGAGTGACTTTACCTTTAGGTAGGGATTTTTTTCTCTCTCATGCTATCATATCAGCTAGTATGTTTGTAAACAAAAACAAGTGGAATATAAATATCGCAATTCACATTTAACACATGCTTTTAAAACTAAAACTGGAGACATGTATATCTGTGAAGGGTGGGAGAAAGGCTTTTACTATCCTATTATTTTTATTTATAACAACTTTGAAGCAATGCAAAAGAGGATCCTCAGAAACGAATAAATACTTCTGAATTATAAGCGAGTTTTATTCATCAAAATAGTGGTAGCATATCAATAGCAATAGCATAACTGGTAAAACAATTTATACTGTATGTAAAACAAGAGTAATATGAAGGCAAACAGCAGAACCTCGTACTTGGAAACATTCGTTAGAATGAAAGGAGTGAGAAATGGAGTTACCCCCCTTCACTAATTCAATAGATTCATGAACGGTACTAAACAAATCATTGCATTTTGATAGTCGTGTTTCAACGTTATTTTCTCAACAATTCTTACGATTGATTTTTAAATATTGAGTTTCTATAATAGTACTACACTCCAATGTAAAAATGTCAACTGCACATAGAACAGTCATAGGGAACAGCCCATGGCTGTGCAACATTATGAAGAGTCACAATTTAAGTTGCCACATAAAGTCTTGTCTTTTATTTGCAATGATAGAATGACATGAAGGATGCGACCGATGATATTCCTTTATGTAGCATGGAAATAATGAAGATTTAATTAGGATACCTGAATCTATATTATACCCCTATACATCTGGTATCTGCATTGGAATATTTTAGTCCCACTAAGTATAACAACAATAGAGAAATCTGAGTTCAGATTAACGAGGCTCCACTGTTTACACACAACCTTGAGGAATAACAATAAACGGTAACATTTTCATTGCAGGGTTTTTAACATTTACAAAACGGCCTTGTATTCATAAAAACAATCAAATGCTCAAACAAAAGCCCCACATCACAAGTACCCAGAACTTCTTTTCACTGAACAAGGACGTAAATTTTAAGTCTCAATTATTATATAAACTTAGTATCAGCTTTTAGGTTATTTTCCAATCCTCTTCATACTATGAGTTGCGGAACAAATTGGAAATAAAATATTTTTTAAACTATTATATAAACAAATTGTATGAAAATTTCAAAAGCAATTACTGACCTATACTAGGAAACAAAATTGAGCACATAATCAGAATTTGAGCATCTGATTATTTTTATTAACACCAGGCCAGCCAGATCTTGTAGTCTTAATACTTGAACAACTTTTAACATGCATGCAATAAAGCACACTTGTATGACGTATATAGATCAACAATGCATGTGTTCAATCACACTTGTATGACGTATATAGATCAACAATGCATGTGTTCAATCTCTCCGTTGCTTTAAAATATATTTAAGACTTCTTCAGATGATTTTCTCAAACTTTCTATAATAATCAAAATGAATCTATTGCTCAGATGTAATAGCACATGGAGAGCATATGTTGAGTCATTATGTATAGTACCAAGAATAAATAATATTTCTTTATATTAATACTTATTTTTTCTTAATTTACATTTCAAATCACAACGTTAATTGCTTGTCGGGAAAAAATCAATACATACAAATTAAGATGTGTAGTTACTTGCCTATCTCTGTGGCATATACGTAATATATTACTATACTCGATGTATTAAGCAACAAGATTCCTGTTTAACATATAATCTGAACTAAGATGTTTTTGCTTCAACATATTTTCCCAATATGGAAAACAATGCTCAAGTTAAAGAAAAATCTAGGTTAAGAAACAGTTGTGGAACAAAGTCCTTTTTGAACCAGTAAAAATATAAAAAATATCTAAAGACAGGTTGCCCAGAGTGGGCCCTGAATGTTTGTTTGTGTTTTATGACCTAACAACAGCTATGTTCAGATGAGGATGTGCCAGGAAAATGACATTGCTGACAGAAATACCATCAATCAGCGGCCAGTATCTGGCAACCCTCCGACAAAGGCCATGAATGTAATGGAGCAGGTATGTTTTAAATAAAAAAAGACTAGGGAAGGATGCTTATTGTTGGTAATACAGTATATTGAAATCAACTAATGCCCAATTACATACATCAACCATTTAATTACCTTGTACATGTACTATATAGTAATATTATATACTGTACAAAGAATGTAGGACCCATCTCTTTCATCTTTTATGTTACAAAAAGCTAAGCACTAGTTCGTTTGAAAATAAAGGATTTCCTTGCCAATGGTGGGTTGACTCAGCCTTTTTATTACAATATTAATCAAATCACAAGGCTAAATATTTCCATATCTATTTCTCTATATTGACCAGTTTACTTTGAATAATAAGTGCTATTTTTAATACGATAAAAATATTAACGTCATAATACAATTTCACTATAAAAACTCGTATTGCAATTTATTTGGCAGACAACTAATATTTCTGAGTCTGTAGAGGAAAGGATATTTTAAACGTCAGCTAAGAAAAGGGAGACAATTTAGATGTGTGTTGAGTTTTTTTAATTTCAACATAAAATAATTCATATTGCTTCAGATATTGAAACAAGTCGCCTATAAAACTTGATTTGCACGAACATGTATAACTTACATAAGTTAAGATTTATAAATATCTGCCTTTTATCGAACCATTTACATCATAAAAAAGATTAACAAATGCATTTTTTCATATTCAGTTCTTCTAGTGCAATCAAACCTAACAATGGTTCAAAATACCCAACGCTGACCTCACTTTGTCCATATGGGGTATGTATATGAACAATTCCTGATACAATACCCAATTGTGATACATTCGTCTATGAAGTTTCTAAAACTGTTAAGAAATTAGTCTTGACCACCAATACCACAATGTCATTTAACTCGATTGCAGTTGCCTTGGTTCTGAAATCTAGGGCCGCATTCGTTTATCGCGATCCAAACGGTTGAACCAGTAGGACGCGAGTTCACCAATGAAATTAGGTCCGAGCTAGTAATCTGATGCTGCTGTCAGGCGAGCATTGACAAAACCTTGCAAGGCCTGCATTAACATTTGCAGGTCTGCCAGGATTAATACCTGAAAATGTTACATTTTAAAACAGACAAACTGGTTGAACTGGTATGCAAAAGGGGGCCTAGGTCTTGGTCTAGGAATCCTTGATACTACAGAGGTAATGCATGCACACATTCTCTGCCACCCCCTGACATATGTCATGACAGACCAGAGAGACCTTTCAATGACCTGCTGAGAAATGGCGACACCAAACTTTAACGATCAAAATCCAAGATGGTTGCTTGGCAGCCACTTTATTTATCCATTAAATCTGAACATCAAACAGGTACCACATATACGGACAAAGGGAACCTACACCTAAAAAACAGATTTGTAGTAAAATAGATATTGAAAAAAAACTATCACAAGATTAATGCTTAATGAATTAGTGATAGATATCTTCATACACAATTTCATCCAATTCATTCAAAGCCCATCTGGTTTGCCCTATCAGAATGTCACATGTAAAAATGTATAAAACTAATTAATGAAAATGAAGCACAAAGGTATCATTACATGGATTTTTGTTTGAATATCATCTTTCATAAATGTACATGGATTAAGAACTTGAGAATTGAAGAAAAAATCTCAAATGAATATTACACCAGAACAAATAAAATAACTTAAAAATTTGTAAGATTCATGAATATTAAAAATAAAACTAAATTGTAATGACAGGTTACACTTGCTATTTCATCTCCTATTCAAATTATTTTAAATGGTTTATTTCCTGATCATTTTCAAGATCAATTAAGGTAGGGCAGCAAAACAATTCTCAATAATATTACAAGTGTTGACCTTGCAATCTGATTTTCCTTATCTGTATTAAACAAAATTTTATAATGATTATGAAACAAAATATTTTAACTTATATTTATTACTCTTGTTGGCCCAAATGTTAGCTTGCAGGGGTTTTTAATGTGGGAAGTATAATCGAGAAATAAAGGAATCTCAACACCACAAGGACGTTTTGTGTGATTTAATTACTGTCTACATGTTTCGGCTTGCTATGCGGCAATTATCAGGACCAATATAGCAAGCCGAAACATGTAGACAGTTAATCACACAAAACTTCCCTGTGGTGTTGAGATTCCTTTATTTCTCCGTTATGTTTTATTAGTAAGGAGTTCTATAGAACCCACTCACGGATACACCCTAGGACGCTAACGCAAAGTTCTACATTAGGAGTGTTTGATCACCTATTTTTTTATTATTAATGTGGGAAGTGAAATCAGATTCTCCCTGAGAAAACCTGGGAAGTGAAATCAGATTCTCCCTGAGAAAACCTGGGAAGTGAAATCAGATTCTCCCCAAGAAAACCTGGGAAGTGAAATCAGATTCTCCCCGAGAAAACCTGGGAAGTGAAATCAGATTCTCCCCAAGAAAACCTGGGAAGTGAAATCAGATTCTCCCCAAGAAAACCTGGGAAGTGAAATCAGATTCTCCCCAAGAAAACCTGGGAAGTGAAATCAGATTCTCCCCAAGAAAACCTGGGAAGTGAAATCAGATTCTCCCCAAGAAAACCTGGGAAGTGAAATCAGATTCTCCCCAAGAAAACCTGGGAAGTGAAATCAGATTCTCCCCAAGAAAACCTGGGAAGTGAAATCAGATTCTCCCCAAGAAAACCTGGGAAGTGAAATCAGATTCTCCCCAAGAAAACCTGGGAAGTGAAATCAGATTCTCCCCAAGAAAACCTGGGAAGTGAAATCAGATTCTCCCCAAGAAAACCTGGGAAGTGAAATCAGATTCTCCCCAAGAAAACCTGGGAAGTGAAATCAGATTCTCCCCAAGAAAACCTGGGAAGTGAAATCAGATTCTCCCCAAGAAAACCTGGGAAGTGAAATCAGATTCTCCCCAAGAAAACCTGGGAAGTGAAATCAGATTCTCCCCAAGAAAACCTGGGAAGTGAAATCAGAGTCTCCCCAAGAAAACCTGGGAAGTGAAATCAGAGTCTCCCCAAGAAAACCT